GTTAGGACTCTCGCCGACCATGCACATGGTCCGGGGTTCGAGCCCACGCCGGCGCACACCTGATATCTATGGTCGGCCTGCGAAATTTGGGCTACCGATATCCATGCTGAAAATTCCATACATGTACCAAAAATACAGTGTGGAATCAAGCTGTAAATCAAAAAAAAAACTTTTGTGATCCATCACTTTCTTTGAATGACCTGACACAAAATGTGAAATATTTCTTTAAAGCACTTTTACATTAACAAGATGGTTTTTAAAACAGAAACTAACGAAAAAGCCTGTGTAGAAGGGCAATTTGCGGATATTCTTTATAGTAGCTTATTGCTACCCTTCTCCGAGTGAGATAAGTTCATTTTAATATTTCTCTCTAAGACTCTTACTATTTAAAACATTCAAATACTATTACTTAAGAGGTTGAGGAAACTGTCATATGAAAAGGTAGAATAAAATTTATTCACACTTTTGGGGATTACCAAATAATGATAAGTTTAAGAATGGTATTCATTTACCGTCCTAAATAGTTTCATTTACTTGGTGGTCATAGAGCTTAAGTGTGTCAAATCAAAGTAAATCCTTAAATTACATAAAGGATCATTTATCAAGTTTATGATTTATTGTCTTATGCATTTATTGCTCAAAGTTTACCGAACTAAAAAGAGGAATATATGGTATAAGAGCCGGAAATATCTCCCGTTGGGTCACGTCTTTGCTTTTCGCCAGTCCACTGGGCAACCTGAGACAGGTGACTCAACTCTTGCGCCCAGAAGAAACACCATCACTCACTGGGGAGTGCAGGTACGTTAAGATGACGAAATGCTCATCGCGGTTTCCACTGCTGGTCACCACCCAATAAATTAAACATTGAATAAGGTATGGTAGTCTCTGCTTATATTTATGCACAACTTTACACCAATAAAAATGAATAAATCGGTCATTGCAGACACACGTTTTACAGTGAACTAAATCTTTCAGGAAGTTGAAAGCATCACCTTGAAGTAAACTTCATTAACATTCCGGTATTTTTGGATATCAGTCTCTAGTTACATTATCGAAAATAACGTCTCTTAAAATCTGCAAAACTAATCTATACATTCCCAAAGTCTCAAAGTTATATGCATCCACAAAAAGTATTTCATCGTAAAATGTGTGTTGCGTTATACTTATTCCTTATTTCTTCTTTCAGTCTTTATAAAGCTTGTTTGCTCAGCATAGAAATAAGACGAATTTTATGTTTAGTGAGCGTATTGCTGTAAGTGATACATTGAACTGAACTCCACATATTGTAACAATTATTTTCTAACACTTTCTCCTATTTCGCTATCTCAAGGGCAAGTTACTGGAAAAATATATCTTATCGTTACAGTTGAAGTCTACTAAAGACCTACATTTTGGCTTCACTGATTATTATATAGATTCTCGCCAGAACAGAGTTATAAATAAACTACAATTATTCAAAGTTTCGGTATTACTGGCAGCTAAATTCCCATAAATTTTACAGCAGTATTTTGTGTCAAACAAGTGATATAAATAGCCTTAAAAGAACGATATATTCTCACAGCGTTTTTAATTTATCCTTATGAACTAAATGGGTAACCAATAAGCAGTTCGGTAGAGCCTTTAGTTGGTGGTGTGCTTTTGATACGAAAGGTAGTGATTAGAAGTGAAAGAGAAATCAGAATCTTATTCAAATGCAACTTTAATCTGAAACAGTCTGCGAAATCAAGGCTGTCTCAGAAAGCTTCAACAATAATAAACAAACGCCTTCCGTCCTCCTTATCCTGAATGAATGACTTTGACTTCAGGAGACTTAACTGAGCAGCCATTGTGATGATACAAGGGCATTAAATATCACTTGTCCACATGTTTGCTGGATATAATACATAGTGATTCTAGTGAAACGATAAGCTGGTGAGTAGATTGGTACTGTTGGTCAGATCTTTAAGCACCAAATAGTTGTGATTAGTTGGTCATTGCTTGGAGTCTTACTGAATGCAGACCTCACTTTTATTCATAAGTCATCATAGGCATAGATATTTGCGATAGTGCTTGTGTCCGAAAATCGGTATGAAGGATAAAATCATCACAGAATCAGATATATGATTCAATCAAATATATGTTCACTTTCCAGTAAAAAGAGGTGAGTTTGTTGGGATATGTAGGAAAGGTGCGAATTCTACGAAGTGCTTACATGAAACGTCATATGGTAAAACGAAAAAGAAATAAAATTAGAAACTTAATTAAGAAATTATATGTGCATATATAAATGGAGGTGATTTAGGCATACGTTTAGGAGACTGTTGAGAGATACTACACATCAAGGTTACGCGTGGAACCTGACTGTCCATCCAAGGGCAAGATGGAGGAAATAAAAGCTTATAGCCAATGGTGGGGTCAGCTAAGAAAGGCAGCAGCGGGATCAATCATAGGGAGCTTTTATGATTTTTCAAAGATACAGATATGTGTTTCAAAAATAGAAGTTTGAAAATTTGGGGGATTTCAATTCCGCTGAGGAATGAATATTCTAAGTCAAATATATACCAATCTCCTCACTCACAAACAGATCAAATTCTCAGTTTGCGATGTACACGATTCACCATAGTTTCCTTTGAAAACCAAATTATTCAGATCACAATATGTGGTTTGCTTGATACTAGAAATGATAATAAAGAAAGCGAGAACATATGCATAGAATTATGTGCTGCTGACTGATTGACAACAGGAGTTGCATACTAATCACTTCAACCAGTGGTGCTTCCTATCCAGATTGAGGTGATCTATACACCAAGTGGCCGTTTCGCTTGTTTCTTTGATATGAGTAATATGTCAATACACATCTCAATCAGTCAGTTGTACCGTCAGTTTTTCAAGTTTAACTCAAATAATAATAGAGTAGCACCTTTGGTTAGTGATCATAATTTGTCAAAACCACTGGTGAGTTTTGTTCGGAAATAATACAGCCAATAGAAAACATGACACTATTGTCAGTGATGGCAAAAGTTTAAATTGATGATTCAAATTTAGGACTGAAAACTTAGAACAGTATGACGGCATAGATATTTATTATCAACAAATCATATCGAAATATTATAAAATAAACTACAGTAATTACAGGGATGAAGTAACTGGATAATACGTCTGAATAAATATCACAAAAACTGTTTTCTTATTTATTCCTTGACTTTCACAGTGGAAATTAAGGCTTCAAGCTGGAGAGGCTTGACGTTTTGATAGTAGTGGTGTTTATGTTTTACGGAATGGGTTGTTAGCCTCATGTCAACCTTTCCTTTTCAACAATCTTCTTACTTGCTTAGCGAAGAAAAGGGGTGTGTCGGCTGGGAAATAAACTCCGCGTGGTTGACGAACATTCTACCGCTGTGTCACTAATGCACTACAAATACTGTGAAATACATGAATAATATGAATAAAACGTAGTAACCCAGTGAGGAATACCTGAATTAAATCTACAATGAATTCGGTAGAGACAAACGTGTAGCACAAGTTGTTTCTTCAATTTTAGGTTGTTTAATTTTAATATTCTTATATCTTCATCTCTCTTAATAAGATGACTTTGAGTCTCATTTAAATAATACTGTAGGATTTTATCAGCAACCTTGTATGTATTGTTCTTAGAAATGGTGTGACTGTTATCAGTCAAATAGCATATGATCTACCTTGGTAAAGTGTTGTGGAAGTATAAGCATTTTAAGAGTGTTCATTCAAAATGGAGGATAAATGTGAAATGTACACTCATGTTATCTATCAGAAGTAGTTCCATGTGAATACTAAGTGGAATTCTGTCATGAAGTAAATTTATTTGATAAAATCACACAGTGCTAGCGTATTACTTATTGATGGCGCTTCAAGAACAATCTACTGCTGCTCATAATCACGTCAAGACACTTACATAACTCTCAAAACTTGTTCATATAATTTCATTATTGCCTCTCTGATTTTATTGGTGGTAATATTTCCCACATATCTGGTATTTGTATGAGTGATTGCTATTGGATCTGTTGGGCATAGTTTCGATGTACAACCACTCAGTGATTAGCTTTTTATCCCACTTACTTATATTAATTTTTAGAACTGTAGCTCTCTCTCAAACTATTGTGTGACTTTGGGTTAATGTATGCACTGCAACCTCTGAGTTTTTCTATTAGTTTTTCACCTTCGTGGGATTAATCATTTTATACTTAGCTAAATTCTTATGTTCCGATAATCTGACTACCTGCGATCTACTGGTTTGACTTTATCCGCTGATCTTACAGACATTGAAAAGTATACTGTGCATCACATTATTTTGTCTAATTGGGTCAATAGGGTCCACTGGCCTTTAGCTCTTTAACTCTGAAGAAGATTTAAGTGACACGGTGACAAGGTTAATAATTAATAATTTTAACGCTTTTGTAATTCACCATTATCTAAACTGTCATATTTTATTCTTGCCACAGTTAAAACAATCTCTATGACACTATATTCTTCTGTAGAAGCTTTGCTTATTAGACAGTTCGCATAGTGAAGTAGTATAGTTTAACAGAGGATAGTATGAGTGCCACTTATTTCCCAACTTCATATTGTACATTATGTAATGAAAACACACATTTGCTAAACTTTCGAAATAACACATTTTACCCTTGTTCTGTGTACTTCAGTATGCTTAACAGGAGAACAAGATCAACAAATAATGACCATTTCTTTTTTATGTACTATCGAACTACAAATCGCACACATCAGTAGCTTGAGTGAGCACGTCTTATGAGAATTCCATGCTACATTAATATGTACAGTTTTAAAACAAAGCAAATCAATACTATTTTTATTAAAAGATAAATACATTTTAACGTATACCCCATAACGTAATTATGTTTTTTCTATTTGTTTTAATATTTCTCCAGAAAAGTATTGCAAAATCTCCAAGTTAAATGGTTCACTCATGGTCTCAATTCTTTTGGGGAATAGTAGTTGGGATTTCGATTCTAACCAGCGATATTAGTTGTATGGATGACTCATCAGAAAATACGCTTCATGAGAACAAACGCTTTCTGTTAGCTCTTCCAACGCCTAAGAGATTAAGTTCACCTACAAATTCATTCAATCGCTATCGACGCCCTATGAGTGAATATTGGAGTGAACCATATAATGATTATTGGAATCCAAACACTGATGAATTTTATGGAGAAGATAAACGATTTCTATTGGGGTTACCTTCGAAATCTGTGGATAAACGTTTCCTACTCGGTTTGCCATCATCATACAGACATCAGAAAAGATTCTTTTTAGGCCTACCGTCACCACCAAGTAGATATACTTCTAAATGAAATAAGACAAACACTCATGTCAATTATATACATACGCATTCGTGATTCAACATTTCTGAAGAAGTATATCAATCACGATGGATCATTATTATTTTATGTAATATGCAAAAGACCATATGTTTAATTATAATAAAAAGAACCATGGTTATGAATAGACATTCTTTTATTCATTGTCATGGCAGGATGTTTAATCGACAACTACACTTAAAATAATAGTCATAATAATGATAAGAGCGTTCAGTTTGAACAGTTAAAGAAGGAAATTATGCCTTAATGAGTTGATATCTTCTACTACTAATAACTTACTGCCTCAGTTGTCAGTCAGTCTAGATATTTAATAGTGTGAAATATTCTAATATCCTGCTTTAAATGTCGTTCTGCACAGAGAATATGCTTTTCAATAACTTCTCTTCAGGATCTTATGATTAAAAAATAGAATATTTGTTGTCGTTACAATAATGGCCAGTTATGTGGCAGGTGCATTTTTTACGTAGAATAACAGATAAGTAGTTGTTGGGTAACAAAATAAACGTCACTTTTATGACAACCGTACCAGGTTAGATTCGATTAAAAAATATTGTGAAATGGGAAAAATTGGTGCCGATTAGTCATGACAGATTCATACAGTGTAGGGTAGGATAAATTGACGAGTGAGGTCAAGGCTATAAAAGGTGTCAGGTAAGTAGTGTAGATTAAAGAGGAGACAGTAAGTCTGCAATGAGAAGTTCATCATGAAATAACCAACATGCGAAATGAAACAGGTGGAGCCGTCCAACGCATCTGCAGCTCTGATCACCTGGAAGAAGAACTACACTTCCTGAAAGAAATCTTCCTACAAAACGGTTATCCACCAAGATTCATAGACAGAAACACTAGACAAAAATTCGAAAGCAACAGACGCCATTCGTGTCAAAAAAGATACTTTATATCAACCTCAACTGCAAAGGCGACCTACTTAGTGAAGTTCTTAGGAGGAGAATTTCCACTTCTTTAAGAAGAACATTCTCTGCGGCAATATTGAGAGTAGTCTTCTTCAGTGGCCAGCTAATCTGCAGAAGTCGAAAAAACGAAATCTCGCACCTAACCACTTCTGTGTGTATAGATCAGTTCACCTGTCCTGTAAGCCAGGTACATCGGTCGTTCGACGCACATCTTGTCCAAGAGGTTCAAAGAACACTATTTAGCGTGGCTGCAGAAGGGAAGTAATGACTGTATAAGGAGTGAAATAATTGAACATCTCGTCACCACTGATCATTCCATCTCAACAAACGCTTCCTTCAAAGTAATGTACAAAGTGAAGAACAACCTTCCAAAGACAGTACGTTTGCGTCTTCTTTGCGTTGCAGAAGCCCTAGCCATTCAGTTGGAAGAACCAGAACTATGCACACAAGAGAAAATTATTCAACCACTTCTAATATCATGGTAATAACTCCGTTGATTTCACTTAACGTTTGCTTGTTTGCTTGATTTCACTTAAATTTTGCTTGTAGGCTTATTTTTCTACCCACTTAAAACTCTTGCGTAATTCCGTACGTTATTTGGTTTCCATGTAAACCCTGAGCACAACTCTTTCATAAAACTATCTATGCTATTACGTAACTCTTCTTTAACAGTCGATTGTTACAACTGATCACTTTTGTTACTACCCTCTTATCTCAAAACCCAAGTCATCTGAATTTACTAATTGTATTTTCAAGTGTTGGTTTGTAGGGATTTGACTGATTACAGGATTTCATCATGAGCTGACATTAGTTAGAGAACCACTGTGAAATCTGGATGTAGTGGACAGCTGTTTCGTTCTAGTTTAAGACTCTTCGTCTGTACGCACCCACCGAGGTTCGAACCCAGGACATTCTTCTTACAAGGCGAGCTCGTTTACTATTAAGCCACTGGGACCTGATCCAATGGTCCATGAATTCTAACTTCTGCCTATTCACGGCTTAGCGCGACCCCTACTCGTGTTCAGTAGGATGCAGCAGGTCGGTTTGAGCACAAATACTCGCCGAAGACATTCGCTAGGGATCGCGCTTTGTCACAAATTGGCGTAAGCTAGAATTCATGGGCCATTGGATCGGGTGCTAGTGGCTTAATGGTATACGAGCTCTGTCTGTAACCAGAAGGTCCTGGTTTCGAACCCCGGTGGGTGCGTACTGATGAAGAGTCTCAAACTAGGACGAAGCAACTGTCCAATACTCCCAGGTTTTCCAATGGCTCTCAGACTAATGTCAGCTCATGATGAAATCCTGTAATTATATTTTCGTTTGGCAAATCTAATGTACACACACATACAAAACAACTACATATATTTGCGATTGTACAGCTATGAAAATGAATTAGCCGAAAAGAGACTATTCGCTAAACTACTGGTCTTCTATCTATTAAAAGAAATGACATCACAAATAGCAACCCCGAATAGTATAAATGGAAAGTTCTATATTATTGAAAGAATGCTGGGATGGAAGGTACTAATTACAACGAACAATACTAACATTTGTACTGAAAAGCAAAGCAAAAGAAAAAAGAAACAATAGGGAAAAGGAGAAGAGGGACTACTGGTAAGGAGAAGAAACTTTAATCCGAGTTCGCCCACGATTGCGACAGCGTCTGAACGTGTTATTTTGGGATATAAAGTTCCGGTTTATTCGATCTTATTGCAACATCCCCAGCTATATTTAGGAGTTAAGCACGCAAATTGGTGGTTTTGCCATAATCACACTAAACACTAAACGCAGTTAATAAGGAAATATTTCTGAAACGTGTGGCAAAATATTTAGGCATTCTTGGGTAATTTATTAAAGATGTCATAATTAATATTATAAGAATTTCCATTCCCCTTTTTCAACACACCTTGATATGCTTGATTTCAAGGCATTCAAGTCTGTTCAACACTGTAATTTCCTAATATTCGATAAATACATATGGATGTATCAAACGGGGAGCGGCGAGGTGGTCGTCCAAGGGTGACATGGAGGAGATTATGTGAGTCAGTGGTTAGGACTCTCGCCGACCATGCACATGGTTCGGGGTTCGAGCCCACGCCGACGCACAGTTGATATCTATGGTCGGCCTGCGAATTTTGGGCTACCGACATCCACGCTGAAAATTCCATACTTGTACCAAAAATACGGTGTGGAATCAAGCTGTAATCAAAAAATAAAATAAAAAAAATAAAACATGAAAAAATAAAAGAAATAAGAAGAGATGAAAGCATGTTGGCAGATGTGGAGCCAGGTGAAAACGTTGTCAGAGAACCGAACGCAACGGAGACGTGCGGGTGAAGCCCTATACTCTTCTAGGAACTAAAGGAAACAAAATAATAATATATGCATGTATAGATGGTGTTCTTGTTGTAATAAAAGCCTGTGATGCATTGCATGCTAAGAGCATTTAGCTGAGTGAATTTATTTTTAGTCAGCGTTATCTTAGCTTTAATTAAATTAACAGCCATGGTGAAACTATCTCAACTAGTATACATTTCCACATGGTGTATAGAAAAATTCTCCACTAAGCGTTTTTATTCAGCCCAATAGTCATATTTGAATATGACTATAAAACAAAAACTACTTGCCGAAATTGTTTCTGGTTGATAGAATAGATATTTAATGCACATGGTAAAGGAAGTGATTAGGTAATTTATGGATTCAGACTAACATTTCACTACATTTAACCAGCCAAATGAAGCTACCAAACCACATGTACCAGTGAACTACATGTACCGGCAAAGATCATGTTTAGTAGGAAAGCATCCTACAGAGATATAACTTTTTTGATTTCACGTGAATAATAATAACAGTACTAATAATCACTTTATTCCAAACAGTAATAATTGTACAGAATGGAATTTTCAGCTCTTTTATACATGTTGCAACAGTTTAGCTCCTTTTGTAAATACGTACATATATAAAATTTAAAATAATATTTATTATGAAACCACTATAAACAGAATTTTAATGGAAACATAATGAATTATAAGTAGACAGTATCATAGATAGTGTATATAATAATAATAATCTTTGCTTATACTTTGAAGTTCACTTACTAACTTAAAACGTCTCTAAGTTCTTTTCTGACATTTGACTCTTCACACAATACTCGTGCTAATTATGGTATGGTATAATGTTTATATTTAGTTGCACGAGAATAAATGCTCATGAAGTTTCTTCTGGTTTTACCCAAAGAGAAACAAGAAACAAGTTGGGAAGAATAAGGGAGTTCGGTATCAGACAAAATACTTTTAGCCAAATGCTTGCGGGAATTGAAGTGCCTATTGACAATAATGTCTGTTCGCTGAGTCAAAGGAACACCACTAACTCTACTGACAGTCTAGTGTTTTCTACGTAATATTCCACAGTCCTTTTTGAGAAGTCCGGGGAAAAATAAGAGTGAACAATGAAAAGAAATGGACAGAATATATGAATTAATAAATTGTAAGAGAAGAGTTTTGGTTCGAGAAAGTCTCAACGTCTCCATGTAATAAGTCAGACAAAAAATCTTCTTAGAAATCAACAGGATATAAGACAACCAACAGAGATTTGAAGAGAAATCGATGCGGTGATAAGAGATATTCAATGTACTCCCCATAACAGTGCCGTCAACATTACAGGAATCCTCAGACTGAATCAGTTCACGCAAGTCTTGTTCGGATCTGGAACAAAAATCAATAATATGACGTTTAGATGGATTCAGTTTAAGACAAGTTAGGTGAGACCATTTTTTAACTGCAAATCAGTACCCTTTCATATAAGAACAAGTAAAGCAGAAACTACTAGTGTGGTGAGAAGTGGCCGTGAGAAAATATGAGCAAGGCAAATTCAGCAACCAATCACAGCAGACTTAACGTGGAAAAATATGATTCGGAGATAGAAAACTCTATTTTTATTCAAGTGATGGTTTGTAGGGGTTTGATTTGTTTCAGGATTTCATCGTGAGCTGACATTAGTTAGAGAACCATTGGAAAACCTGGGAGTACTGGACAGTTGTTTCGTCCTAGTTTGGGACTC